TTAGAATACAAATGAACACAGAAGTGGAGAGAGGTAAGGTAGTTCTTCAAAAATTATAGGGTACTTATCACAAAGAGAAATTGATGTTTGCATCTGTCAGGGTTCAGTAAAGAGAAATCACACAGTAAATTGAGTAAGGAAAGTTCAAATGCAAGGAATTATTAAATAAAAACAGAAGATTAGCTACTAAGAAATAAAGAGAACTTTAAGGAGTTCAAGAATTGGGAATTTAGGAAGCAGCCAACTACCTCTAGGGAGAAGACCAAGTACTCAGAGAAAGAATACATTTGGAAATTGTTCCCCACCCCCAACCAAGGTTGAAATTCAGAGTTTATTGGGGAAAAAAAGGGGACTTTATTGCACTGAACAGGAGAGAAATTTGCTGAGGTGCTTCAGCATGGGGCTGGAAGGCAGGAAACTCACAGGTAGGGAGGTGTGAAAAGCCATTAAAAAGCTGTTTTTAAGGGCACTACTACAAGCTCTCTGGGCACCAGCCTCTGGGGAACTGTTATCTTCAGTATTTAGCTAGGAAAGGGGAGCAAAGGGAACTAGGCACTGAATTTAATAAACTGGGGAAAGTAAGCCTGCTTGATGGCCAGGAAGCTACAGCTTCACACTCCAGAGGATCACAGCATTTCCCCACCAAGGGGATTAACACTCCTCCCTTTTCCCTTCAGTACCAGATTGTTGGCGGCTATAGGGGGAGGTGTTGGGCCATAGAGGCCTGTCAGTGTAACTGGGGGATGGACCCTATCTAAAGCCTATGGAAACTTGGGAAGTTGATTGGTCATTTTGAGAAAGCACCTGGTCTGCCCCAGCGCCAACCTCCTGGTTATAACCCCAGGGGAACAAAGAAACACACACACTCTCTCTCTCTCTCTCTCACTCTCTCTCTCTCTCTCTCTCTCTCTCTCTCTCTCTCTCTCTCTCTCTCTCTCTCTCGCCTGTGATATACACTTATATGGTATACACACCTGTTCCCTCCAATGTTTCCAGGTGGGAGCCTGAATACCAAAACACAGCAATGACTACAGCTGGAAACACACATAGCTAGCCAGATGCTGGGCTGGGCTGGACTGGACTTTAACATGAAGCATAAACTCTGGGCAGTGGCCTTCATCCTTGTTCTCCTGAAGACAAGACTGAACTTTTTCCATGGCTGAAGATGAACAGAGATGAGACACTGGGGAAGTCAGGAGGGGAACCCCTTTATTTTACACCATCAATAAACCATACCACAGAGCCACATCCTTCTATGAGGGTCTCAGGAAATTCTTTTTCTTTAGACACTGCAAGAACTCCACTCTACTGATGCCAGAACCTTTACAATTCATTTGTCCCCGACTGTCCTGCACATCAGCCAAATGCTACAGGAGCAGGAAGAGCAAAGCGGAACCAGGAAGTTACTCCTTTTGTAGTGTCTGTCCAGTGCCAAAGCTTAACATTGTTCCAGATGTAAAGAAAAAATATCTTCATGGTCCAGCTACAGTATCACAAAGCTTAGCCAAAAGAAAAAAAAGAAAAAAAAGTGGATTTGAAGAGGAAATAAATTGATAACTGACACAAACTACAAATATGAAACCACATTTACTTATGTTCATTTGAACACACATGCTAACAAGTATACACTATGGATTCCATTCAAAATTTCAATCTATTAAATTTATTGGATTGGCAATTCTAACTATTGTTGAGTAACACATCTGCTCAAAAACTAAAGTCTCATTTCTTTAGCAAATATTCATGGAGCTAAACATACAGTTATTCCAAGTTATCTGAACTACATGAGTTTAAAAAATACTTTCCTAAATCAAATTTAGCACTTTTTTATGAATGGCTCCAACATCCATTAAGTTGAACAGATTCACTGGGAATCATCCTAGAAAACAGGTCTCATTCGATCACCATATTAAAGCAAAAACAAATACTGTCATTTGAAAAATACACTTTACATAGCTCTCTAGTCATGCATTTTTTTTTCTGTCTCCACTAAGACAAAATACCATCTCTTCCTTCCCAGAAAATTCTACTACATCCCACATGACTTTAAAAATCCAAATAGCATTATGCTAAATTAAACAAGCCAGGTGGTAAAAGACAAATACCATATGATTTCACCTATAAGTGAAACCTAATCAACAAAACAAACAAGCGAGCAAAATACAACCAGAGACTTGGAAATAAAGAACAAACAGAGTAACCAGAGGGGAGCTGGGAAGGGGATAACAAGGGAAAGAATGGGAAGGATTGTCAAGGAACATGCATAAAGGACCCATGGACAAAGACAACAGGGAGGGGAGTTTGAGGGGAGGATTGGATATGGGAGGTGGGGTTGGTAGGGTATGGGAGAGTAATGGGAGGAAAATGGGGAACAAATGTAATTGTACAACAATAAAGGAAAAAACATCCAAATATCATGCTGCACATTTTTAAAGGCATTTTAAAACTGTGAAACATGTCTTACCAAAGAGTGTATGTAATATACATACATAAGAATAATAAAATAAATATCAATGATTCCGTTATACATTAGACCATTATCAATATCACTGAACATCTCTGAGTGACCCTTCCAACCTTGTCTTCACCAGCCATCCCCACCAAAAGTGACCAGTTTCTGACTCTTGTGTTAATAGTGGTTTTCATAGTTTTCTACATATATATGCACTATGGAAACATGTATCTTTGAACAGTTAAACGCTTAGTTGATTTTTAAAACTTTCTATAAATAGAATCATGGAATCATACTATCTAATGATTGGGTTTTTTAACTTTAACTTTTGTTGATCAAGTAGCTATGATTGATTTTTATTGTCATATGGTATTCTCTTTTGTGACAATTTCATGTTTTATATGTCCACTCTACTGTTCAAGGGTCTTTAAGATATTTCTAGTATTTTTTCTCCTGCAAAAAACAGTGATGTTACAAATATTTCTTTATATATATATCTCCTGGTGCCTGTGTGGAACAGCTTCTGTTTGACAAATGCTGGACTAGAGACTGAGCATATTTTCAGTCAACAGTGTATTGGACTACCCATTGTTTTACATCACCAGCACTAAGTACAGTATTTCAGAATTTTTAGTTTTTGCTAATCTTTTGTCTGTGATGTGGGATTTTACTGTGGATTTTTCTGCATTGTTCTGTTTATTAATGAGAATCACTCTTTTTCATGTATTTAATGGTAATTTATATTTCTCCTTTTGTGAAGAACTTATTCAATTCTTAGGCCCATTTAAAAAATTGAATTGCTGTGTCTGCTTACTGATATGTAGTAATCATTCCTAAGTTTCAGAAACAAATATTTTGTCAGTTAAATATATTGTAAATATCTTTTCCCATTAAAATGCTTTTCTTTATAGTCTTTAAATAATGAACTTTAATGAGCATTCAAAATTTTATTGTAGTCAGGTCTTAGTTTTTCTCTTTGTGTCCTTTATTTTTGTGTGTTTAGGAAATTCCATAATCTTGAGTTGAACAAAAATTATTCTATATCTTTTTCTAAAAGTTTGAAAAATTTATTTTTAAATGTGTTTTTGATTAATATCAAGTTAACTTTTTGTATATGTTAGGAATGCATTTTAATTTTTTTCATATAAATAACCAATTGTTTCAACACCAGTTTTTGAATATTTTAACATTTTCCTACTGATTCTCATTACTAGCCACAACATAAAACAGGTTTTCATGTTTGGGTCTGTTTCTGGCTCATTTGTGCCTTTGATTTATTCTGTGCCAATATCATTCAATATTTAATTATATAATTAATTATAATTTAATATAATTAGTATTAAAAAATCTTATCTGGCCATTCTTTTTCAGCCCTATCTTGTCTTATCTGAGCTCTTTGTTATTCCGTAAATCTTCTAGAATCAGCTTGTCAGGATTTTTGAAATACACCAGTGAGAGTTTGCTTTGCAACTTCATCAAACCTATACAACAATTTGAGGAAAATTTACAGTTTTACTACATTGGGTTTGCCTACCTCAAATCAGCACTTTTTAAATGTTTTGTAACATCACATAAATTTTACCTAAAAAATGTCTTGAATATCTTTTGCTGAGTTCAGTACTACAATTTTGATTTTTGTTACTATATTCTAAATGGCATTTTCAAGTTTTGCGTCCTGTTTTTATGTAATATGCAGATGTGCAATTGATTCTTATATTGATTTTGTATTTAGCAAACTTGTTAAACCTTAGTATTGATTTAAATATGTTGTCTGTAGATTCATTTGCACTTTCTAAATTGACAAGCACATCATTTGAAAATAATGACAGTTTTGCTTCTTCCTTTCTGAATTTGTTTTTCTTTTCCTATTGTCCAGGTAAATACCTCTACCACAGTGTTAATTATGAATAGTTACAAAGATCGTATATTGGCTTTTAATCCTTTCTGTAGGTTTTTAAAAATAAGCTTCCTTTTATTGATTTTCTTGCATAAGAGCCCTTGTTTCTTCATTATTTTTAGTTCTGTGTATTAATTTTTAATACATAGAAAATATTTTATATTTTGCATCTGATAATTTCAATATCTGTAGTGTTTGTTTTTCTGATTCTTTATTGTTTTTGTTGACTCTCCCACGGGTGACTTATTTTCCCATGTGGTTAATATTTTCTCCCTTTCAACTACCCTGGTCTTTCCTGGGCTTCTTGACCATGACTTGGCTTTTACCTGCTTAGGGTCTTTGCATATGACATTCCCCAGTGTGAATCTTCTTTCACTTTTAAGTTTAAACATCCCCTATCCTTCAGAGCTCAACTGAATATCTAATCTTAAACTAAAACTGAGTTACTATTACATGACTTCATATTCTCTTTCTTCCTTATAGCAGTTATTACAAATATTATAAGGAACTGAGTATTTAAATAATTAATAACTATGTGTCTTTTTAGGATATAAGCTTCAGAAAGGTAGAGTATGTTTGCTTTTTTAAATACAGTATTTCTACTGCCTAATACAATATTCTTAGATGGAAGATAGTGAATGAATAATTTTAGTGCTTGCCTCGGCAACACGTACACCAAAATTGGAATGATACAGAGAGGGTTACCATGGCCCTGCATCAGGATGACGTACAAAATCATGAAGCGTTCCATTAAAAAATTAAAATACGTATGTTAAAATGAATGAATTAAACCATTCCATAGGATTGAGTTAAAACTTAATCTTTTTTTGTCATGAAGATCTTCTGTGCAACTTAATGTTATCAAATATTACTAGTAAGATTAAATATATAAGATTTTCAGGTAAAATTTACAAAAATTTACTGAAACTTTCAAAAATTACTAATGTTTACAATATTTTGCATTCTAAACAGAAAACATACGTAGTTTGAACATGGCCCAAGGATCACTAATTTCCAACTTTATGGTGAACCAATACTCTATGTCATATACAGTGACAGGGATCATGTCATGAATAAAACAAGATAGTAATGAAAAAAAGAAGGAACTGAACCCTGAACAGAATTTGGAATTTCAAAGTGTGCAATTGAACAATATGACAGAACTTGGCCCAGTGGTTGTCTTTGTGGGTGTAACTATGGAGGATGATTTCATATCATATCTAGCCTTACAAATCATTTAAGTATGGTTACTATTATTTAAAAAGAAATAAGTCATTTTATTTTCCCCCAGAAAATATTACACTGTGTCTAAACCATCTTTTTTACAGGTGGGTGTGTACAGGTGTTATATGTACACACACATACATACTCATATAAAAATCTTTCTTGGTGCAATGGTAAATCATTTTATTCTGATGCAGCAGAGTTGGAGTACTTAAAATGTAGATTCTGATTTGGTAGGTCTCAGAAGGCCCCAAAATACAGCATTTCCAACAAGGCTCACAGATGATGCTGGCGATGCTGGTCCAAGGACTGCACTTTGAGTAACATAAACTTAAACACATGCCTAAGAGTCCCTGGTGCATTTATTTACAGTGCAGTTATGGCATTAGAATACTTGAATATGAAGTTTGGGGACATGACTTCTCCACCAATCAAGGTTCTTTCTTGCATTCTAAAAGTTAAGAATTATATGCGGTCTAAAATGTAATCATTTCTGTCATACTATGTCATTGTGAGACATCAGAAATTTTAACTTTGTTCTCCTATTCTGGGAAGATTTATATTTTAACTTGTTGAAAGACTTTTCCAGGCTTATCTTGTGATTCTTTTATAATGTGATTTTGAGAATCAAAGATGTATTAGTGGCAAGTTTGGAGTAGTTCAGTGTCTTCTGATTTATACTGCTTTTGTTCAGTGTGAAGAGTAAATCTCCTGAATTTTCCCCTATTCCTTTGTATTTTATCCTCTTTCTTCAGGGAGATAATTCCATAAAGTGATGAATTTAAATGAACAGGGTAATTCCAGCCTTCTTCCCTGATATGAGTGTTTACCCTAGATTTTATGGAGGGGAGGTGTGTATTACATCTTAGGACCACACTTACTAAACATGGGTGGATGAAGCAGCCACCCATGTTTAGTAAGCAATGACCACTAAAAGTCCCTGTGGAATCTCATAAAGGAAATTAAAAACCAGGGTATCTAAGGAGTGAAAGAGAGACATACACCCAGAGGCCACAAAGAAAAGTCACAGAAAGGACAGAATATAGAACGATGTTCTTGAGTTCTAACAGAATAGTTTTGTGAATCAGAACAAGAGTTCTTAGAGGGGCTTGCCTGTATCATGTGCTGGACAGCAGAAGAAGACAGATAAAAAGATGTAATCCTTTTCCTCATGATAATTACACTCTAGCAGAATAAGATAGCCTAAAAGAGTAATTAAATATGTATTCCTGGTAAAAAGAAAGTTAAGTAAGTTTTCCAGGTCATTTAAAAAAATTCAATGAGAAAAAGCCATGTCCAAAAAAAAGTTATGGTACTATACAATAATTGGAAACAATCCAAATATCCTTCAATAGGTAAATGAATAAGAAATTGTGGTATGCTCACACAGTGGATGATTCCTCAGCAATAAAAAGAATGAACCAACGATATATAGAAAATATGAGTGAATCTCAAAAGTATTATGTTAAAGAAAAAAAAGCCACATATAAAACAGTGTACACTGTATGATTCAATCTATATAAAATTTAAGAGAAGGTAAAACTACTGTATTATGTTAGAAATTAGAATTTTGATCAATTATGTTGATGGAGATAAGTTAAAGAGAGCATGTAGAACTATCCGGATGATGGAAATCCTTTATATCTTGAACAGGGTGGTAGTTTACTGAATATATACATTTCTAAAATTCACTTAAGATTCATACATTTCACTATATGTAAATTTTATAAAAAAATATAAAGAGAGCATGGCTAAGTCTTGTTAAGGATTGGTGAGTTTGCTTTTGAATTACATTGGCAGATATTTTTAGAACCTATTTTTTTTAATAATGAAAAATACAGCAAATAACAAATTAGGGACCTACTTCCCTCTTTACTAGTATTTACAATTTACACCTTTAGTTCTTTCATTGTCATTTCTTACTCACAGAGTTATTTTAATAAGTACATGATATAAAACGTATAAATCTCCTAATATTATGTGTACTTAATAATTATTAGTTAATAACATCATTTGAGATTGATAGTAATAAGTATTTCAACACCATGAATACCTGCATTAGAAATGATTATATTACACCATATTCTTATAAGGTACATTTTTGTATATATGTACACACATGTACATATATGTATATAGTTGACCCTTGAACAACATAGGTTTGAACTTCACAGGTCAACTTATTTGTGAAATTTTTCATTAAATATGTACAGTAGTATATGTGTATTTTCTCTTCCTTATGGTTTTCTCGATAACATTTTCTTTCCTCTAGCTTTATTATAAAAATATAGTATATAACACATGTTACATAAAATATATGTTAATCAACAGTAGGCTGTTAGCAGTAAGTTTTGGGGAGTCTAAAGATATACACAGATTTTTGGCTGCACAGAGGTTGGCACCCCAACCCTTCATATTGTTCCAGGGTCAATATTTGCATATTTGAAATTGTGTTTGAAAACTACTTGAAATTAAGATGTGTGTGTATATATATGTGTGTATACATATACATATATATGCATATATAATGTTAATGAAGTAGAGGCAGGTAGAGTTTATTTTGCAGGTGACCAAACAATTTTTCTATGGAGATATTAAGTCAGCCATGGCAAGACGGTTAATTCATTAGGAAATCAAAAGGCCCCAAGGTGGAATTTTCATTTGATTTGAGAACTACTTGAAACTATTATTTCAGAGAAGTAGATTAAGACAATAGCTTATAAGAAGTGTGGTTCTAATTGTGTAAGATATTTTTTATTATTGTTCTTACAGGGTGAGATGTTGTATGTTATAGAAGAAGGAATGATTGACATCAAGTAAAGACCTATGAGGAAAAGAAGGCATTTAGAAAACAACTTGAAAATAAAAGGTTTTTTTTGTAGTCTATGTCTAATGAAGAAGCAATCTTTCTGTGAAACGTAGTAAGTCAGAGATGGAAGGAGTTCATAGCTACAAAAACATGATGGAAGGAGAGTGCCAGGTTTATTATCATAAAGAGGTCCTGTCAAAAAGTGGAAATGTTTAACAAGAATAACACCTGAGCACAGAGGAAAAATGAAGTTAACATGAACTATGTTTTGTTTTACATGTTAAGCAAATGTGCATTGTCTTGGCGAGGGAGGAACAGAAGTTCAGACAGAACTAGAGAGGGAGGAACTGAAGTTCAGACAGAAAAGAACTGCTAGAGGCACAGATCTGCTGGAAAGCATTTGGGTGGTGATATAACTGGATTTGCATTTGGTAAATTCTTCAAATTTCAACTTTGGGAAATAAGATTGACTACACAGAAAAACCCTGAGCTTCTACTGGGATTTAGAATATTTATAATATTTAAATAGAATATTTATATGTTATCAAAACACTCCTGCAGTGTGACTTCTTCCTGGAATATTCCACCTCAGAGGATCTCCATAGAAGGTACATAGGATTTAAAGTGAGGCCTTCCTAAGGGTGAAACCAAGCTTGAGTAATTGCTTAACCTCTTTTAACATCAGTTTTTTTAATAGACAAAATGGTGTAAAAATTGCATCCTCATAAGAATTGTTTTAAGGATAAAATAAAATAATGTATGTGAGGTGCCAGGCTAGATAACTCCTATATAATGTCTTCTCAGATGATGATAATTACAGAATCAATCCCCTTGATAATGTAAACGTCCTTGTTATTTCAACATGTTCATTATTCCCTGTATGTAAAATAGGACATTTAACTCTTCTCTCCTTCAGTAGAATGATGGCATTCCCTCTTTACAAGTCTGTATCTTATCACCCTGGAAGTTATTATTTAAAACAATGTGTCAGGTTAAATTATAGGAATGTATGGTAAGATAGCATTCATTGCCACTTGTTTAAAGATCCATGAAATTTAATCAACAATCATTTAATAATCTTTTTGGTTTTGAATGAGAGAGCTGGATCTAGAACGGAGTATTTTTCTTTCTCAGACTCGGTATGAAAATTTACTGTTAAAGTTACATCAAAATTTTTGTTTTAAAAACCTCTTTCTCTTAAGATGAAGATCAGCTAAGCAAAGTAAAGGTATAATTCCATGACCACAAATAAAAAAAATCTCTGGGACTTATGTGCTTTTAGCCTAAAACCAAATCCTACTTCCTATTAAAATACCTTGCTGTGTTCTGTGATGTAATAGTCCTCAAATGTATACCTGAATCAAGTGTCTGAGATTGCTAATCTCTTCACTGTTTTCTAAAGGTTGTCTTCCTTCCTTTCTGCTGAAATAATAAATGGGTGTATAGTCATGTGTGAGATGCTTGCATCTTTAATATGCCAACACCTTCTGTCTTAGAGGCCTATTGTGCCAGATGGAATGTTTCATAAACACTGTAACAGACAAATTACATTAGATACCCTGGCGAGCACAGTGACACACAGCACCTTTATATAACTCAATTTTGTCTGTCTACATCTCCAACCATTGCATTCCCAATCAGCAACAGGATATTATAAACTATCATCTCTAAATAGAATGATAATCTGTCCACTATGTTTATAAAGCATTCAGCTTCCATTAATT